CAATTTGTGTTCATTACCCAACATATATTTATATATATTTATATATATACACATGAAAAAATATCCCTTATATCAACATATCAAGCATTGAACTTTTGACTTTGTAGTCATTCCAAATTGACTTTATACTTCCTCTCTTTTGTTTTTTTGACTTCTACTGTTGTCGCTCATCAATTTTATGCTAACTACCTTTAACATACGCATTCTTTTGTCGTCAAAAAATATAGATATTTATACACTTCTTTACCAGCGTCTTCAATCATCAACAGCAGTTTGCATCTCTTCGTTGGTATTTAAACAGAAAATGTTCAATAATAATAATAGAATAAAACACAAGAAAGAAAAATAATATATATATATATATATACATTTTGTGTTGAACAACAGTTATAACAATGACACCAACGACAAATGCACAACAACTATCCCTTCAGACAAGCAAACACAGTTTCACCACATTACCAACTTTCTCCTTCTATTGCTTTGAGGGTTAAACGTAGTTAAAAACAACAAACCAATTAATGGATGTCAACAGAACCAAAATAAGTTGCAATAAAAAATCCGTATTTTTTAGATCTTTTTCCTTCTTCCCCCCCCATACCTCCATCTTCCACCTCCTCAACTACACTGGCTTTCCCAGCTTTTTATTACTACTAATATTATTATTATCAATACAGTTACGATAATAATAATAACCATTTATTACTATTATTATTATTATTACTCTTATTATTATTATTACTATTATTATTATTATCGTCATCATCATTACCTTTCTAACGACAACATTACTTACAAAGCGTCACGTATCATCAACAATAGTCAACTGCAAAAAAAAAAAAAAATATTTAAAATTGAAAAAAAACCCTTAGAAGCGACAGCTGAACAAAACTATGGTAACATTGATTACCGGAAAAACAAAAATGATTAACTTAATTTGTACAGTAGTTTGGTGATCATGTTAAGTTGATGAAAAAAGAGTAAAATAGATCAAAATGGAATAAACTGATAAATTTGAATAGAATAAAAAGAAGACGACGAGAAAAAAAACTATAATCAAGAGGTAAAAGCCGAAAATAAAGTGTCGAGAAAAATTTATTTTTAAAAGCCGAATGATAGATCTCACAAATTACCAATCGCTCAACGCGGTTAGTTTGATTGTGTGTGTGAGTGAGTGTGTGTTTGTGTGTGTGTGTGTGTGTGTGTGTGTGCGGAGTCTTTTAGGCTTGCATCTTCATGTTCTTCGTCTGTATCTCTGTGTGGTGGTGTATGTGCACGTTTGTTTACGTGTGTGAATGACTGGGTGCGTGGGTGTATATGTGTGGGTATATTGAGAAATATGTACGCAAATATCAACTGATAGTAGAACATAAATAAGCAAAATGCAGTATTGAGTTGGTCGATGTTAGCAAGTGCTGCTAGAATTAGTCTCGTTAGCTGGCCAAACCAATTGGTTGGATGGGCTAACTAACTGGCTGAATTGCAAAGTGTATTGTATGCTTGGGCTAGCTTGCTGTCTATTCAGCTAGTTGTTAACAGAGACTGTCGTAGTTACAAGTTACTAACTGGCCAACTGCTTTTGCAGTGCAAAACCTAATCTAGGAAAACCAGTTTGTTGTCGTCAATGGTTGGCATATCGTCAGCATCGGTTGATAGCACATACATCAAAGCATAACATCAGCATCGCAATATTTTTATTACAAATTACATCTTCGACACCAAACTCGTGTCGCGCTGCGTCCACTTTTTTCTCTGCTTTTTTTTTGTTTATTATCATTTATCGACATCATTTTCACATTTTTCCTCATTTTCTGTCTTCAAAATTATCAATCAACTCTAATTTTTGCTTGTGCAAAAAACTGAGTCAAATCATTTCGAAACAAAATAAAATTGAGAAAAAAAATTTGGCGTAAATTGGTGCTCAGCGTATGCAACTTGCAATCAATCAAATCCGATCAGAATCCGTCCTCGACAATCACCTTCGCATGTCATTCAACTATACCTTAAGCAGTAAACAGCCATTAGTGCCTTTCGTCCAAATTGACCACTTCACATCGTCAGCTGTCCTGCAACCAAAGTGCCGTCATCCACTGGTACCGTCCAGCTGCCAACAATTGTCCGTCAGTTTGCCACCGTACATCCAACTGGTGAAACCTTAAGCTTCCAGACAAAGCAGCAGCCACCAAAAACCGCAGGCCACTTACTTAAGCAGTCATCCATCTCAAGTTTTAGAAGGAATAAAAAATAGGACCATCTTCAATACCAAGAGCAAAAACAAACATCTGACCAAACTTCTTAATTCCTAACTGATATCCTTTGTTGGATTCAAAAGTGACTACTCATGAGAACACCAATCAGAAACAGCGAAAATAGAAAAGATAAACCAGAAGGAAAAAATGGTTTTTCAAACAACTTTATTTCGAAAAAAACTTTTGTACAAAGGCTTTCACAATAACAATAAAACCCTGTTCAAGTGTAGAATTGTAAAACCTTGTTGTATCGAGCGTTAGTCATGATGAGAGACTTCAAAAGGGGAAAATACATATACATATACATGCACAGATGAAAATTGAACTAGTGTTCTGAATTTACTTACCTACTCTTTAACACGAAATTTAGCCAAAAAGAAGTACTAGCATGCGCATAACCTGAGTCGAACTGGCAACAATATCATAATACGAATTTTGACTCAGAAACTCAGAACCTAAGTTCACATTTCACCTGGTAGAAGCAACAAACAGTTATTAAAATAGAGATCTTGAAATTACAGGATGCTAACCCCTATGTTACAGCAGAAATACCAAAAGAAAATTCAAGGTGCCTGTGTAGGAACTCGCGACCTACCATAACAAATTCTGGCATATGCCTTAGAAAAGCTCTCTAAAGTTTTACTACTACAAACCCAAACAGCACAAGTGATGCCAACAACTAATTGAAAGAGGTATTTAAACAGATACACCATAGGTTCAGGTTTCTGAATATTTTGTAATTCATTGCACTGAGCCTTTCTTGAAGAATCCAATTCTTTTACATTAGTGTTACCGCATTTAATCCACTTCGTTAACCAGCTTTCCATCATAAAAGCCTCGTACCCAATGCATGCTGCACTAACTATTGTTGGAAAAGTGTACATGAAAGCGAATGCACAAATCCGAAGCATTAGTTTCTCCAACTTCCGAATATTGTGATCAATATTACTGTGTTTTATTTTAATATACTTCCTTATTCTTACCATTGATACAATTCCAAAACCAAGAAATAGCAGGCCAAAAGCTGTAAAAAAAAAGTGGTTGATTTAATGAGAATATGAGGACATAAAAACTTGAAGCGTTTGACGTATAGCATTAAACATACCTATGCAGACGAAAAGAGGCAAAAAAACTAAATTGAACAGCGTAGTCGGTTTCAGATTCCCAACAGAACAAATTCCGGTGAAAGGATCCCCGTCTATACTATGTGATATTAGAACCATAATGCAGAACAACGCCGGGATACCCCAAGCAATCAAATGGAAATACGATGCCAAACTTTCAATAGATTCCTGAGCCCACTTCAGGTTAGCTGCCAAAAACCATGCGACGCACAATACAACCCACCATATGTTACTTGCAGTGCTAAAAGAAATGTTCAGAATAGTCTTGAACAAGTACTCTTCACCATATACAAAACACGTGTAAACACTTCTAGGTAAAGAAACCGCAGTAAACAACCTGAAGTAGTAATGAAGTACTCCCAGCAAAACACATGACGAGCTTTCCATACCCTGTGATACCAGAGGTTTGTTTTTGTAAGAGACTGCTGCACAAGAGATCTTGTTTTCAGCCACCAAACCGATCATGAATACAAATGATATAAACAGATAGCAAATTGCAAGATAAAAAATAGGCCTAACTGGATAAGGAAAACGAGCCATATCAATAGAAAAAGTTAAAACTGTAAAAAGAGCACTCGCGCAGCATATTACAGCCCATGCACCTGAAAAAAAATTGTTCAAACACATTGCTAATAAATCACTGCTAATTATTAAAAGGATTAAGAAAAGAACCTGTCCAGAACCGAATAATACGGCGAATTCGTGCATCAAAAAACATTTGTGAGTCGTCATCAGGGTCGCAAGGTAGCGAACATTGTTTAAGTGTTTCATTTGCAATACTGAGCGTATACTCCTCAGTAGTTCGCACCTACTCAATTTTACACCAGATTGTTCCAAACGAAATAAAAAAGAAAAAAAAAAATTTAAAAATGTCTATACAAAGTCTCTTCTTACTTGCATGTTGTTGGGACACTCGTCAAAATCACGATCCACAACCTTCATAGTTTTCGTCTCACTACTTGACCGATTCTCACCAATGCACAAGTCCCCAACAACAGGGAATCTCTCACAGTCGAATACATCTGGCCAAGAGTGTCCAAATTTCCTCATAATTTTCTCACATCCTGCTCTAGAAGATTCACAAAGGTATCTACAAGGAGGAATTGGCCTTCCCAACGAATTGCAAAGAGGTACATATAATGAGCAGAAGAAAAATTTCAAGTCTGGGCTACACTGTATCTGAAAAAAAAGTTACTCGAATAGACATAACAGCCTCAAATCCTTCTTTAAAAGTACTATTTGAATTCTAAATCTTAAAAACAATTAAAAAAGCAAAAAACTGCACTGAATTAGAATTTACATCAAATATTAAGGTACACAAAAACACTTTAAAAAGATTACAAGCAAACGCGAAAGACTAAGAGTGAAAATGGCATTGCCGACAAAAATATAAATCCTGGGAATCAACTTGTCTCCAAAACAAATCCTTCTTCAAAATCCAGCAATAGTAAACAAATTATGTAAAATGCCAA